AATTTGTGCAAAAGAAACATTTCGCATCGTAATTTTCTTTATGATCGCTTTCGTCATCCAGAATAATATCTTCATCACTTTCATTAATCACTTTGAACTTTCACTTAATGGATTTTTTAATTGTTACTGTTTCCTTGTTCATTGCTTTGATTTTATCTCTTTTCTTTTTTTTTAGTTTGTTCTTGATGACGAAGTTATCGTGGCAGCATTTCCAGAACGTTTATATTCCTTAATAGAAATTTTTGATAGTTTATAGTTTCGATTTCTTGGCTTAACACAGACTTTCTACCAAGAGGCTTTGATACCAATTCTTCGAAGGAAAAATCGGCATTCTTTTATATAACATTGCAAAGTTATTTTTAGAAACATTGAAAAATTTCGCCGCTTTTTTATAACCCGTATTAATTTTTCGAACTGCTTTAATTACCAATATTATCCGATCTTTATCCCATTCTTTTCGTTTTTTGGCAGAATCCGCCTAAAAAAGTAAACATAATTGGATACCTTATATGAGATCTGTCAACAAGCTTGCTTAAAGATCAACCATTCATTATTTTACAACATATATAATCAGTAAATTTTAAAATTTCACCATCTGCACTATGTGATAGTACTTAAGGAAATGATTGAACACTTACCATATTGAAGATATTTATAATTGAGTAAAAAGTCTTTTAAAAACAATTCACTAACATATGTTTCTTCGAAGTATTCAACAGTTGCCAAACAACTGTTAAATGTTTAGTTACGAACAAGAAAACATCGCGATCACATTCAACAGTTCCATAAGAAAAATAAGATAGGTTCTCGTATTAGGAGAGATCCTATTAGACAACTTTACCTTACTTGTTTGAAGACTATTCAAGTAAACTTAAATTGATAAATACGAGTTGACTGAATATAAATTGATAAAATACATAACTGAAGAAAACTGGATAAAAAGAGAAGGGAGCGGAGAGAGGATGAATCAGAACGAAAAAGTACGATGCGGTACCTACCTAATCGCAAATTGGCGAGGCAAACTAAAGTGAAGCCACCGAATATGGCCCACCGACCCCTCGTAATTTGTATTCGCATCGATACGAAATAGCGACAGACGTAAATCGATGAATACGATTTACCGTGACAAAATGATGAGTTTGTGTATATTAAGGATGCGCGAGTTATCTGCCGCTTAAAAAATACGTAATAGCGTTTAGTGAGATTCTCTAAACGTAGGTGCGGACACCATATGAACGAAATTGTGCTAATTTGTCACAGTGGTTATTATCTCATTACTCTATGTATGCCCGTGCGCGGATGACTAGAAGATTCGTGATACACGGAATACTCCTGGACTCGCACGTACACGACATGCAAAGCGGTACTCCAGAGAGGACGCACCGTGCGATCGATCACGATCGATTGTTGCCCACGCAGGTTGCGATCTGCGAGAAGACTGGCCGTCTGAAAGCCGCTGGATCTCGCTCAGACGGAGAGGCGTCCGGCTGACAGGCGGATCTCTATTAATCTCGTTTGGTACGGGAACGTCGGCCCGCTTCGTGACGGCTGGCCCGTCCATCCATCGGTCTTTTGCCTCTTGCCTGTCGCGATCTCTGATGCGCCTGATGCTGTTGATTTTATGCTCCACCGAATCTGATTCATCTCATCTGGATCTAAATTTCATTTAAGGAATAACAAATGCATTACCTGCTCCATAAATTTCAATCTATTTTAAATTGTTTATTTTCTACAACGGTTAGAGAGAGAGAGAGAGAGAGAGAGAGAGAGAGAGAGAGAGATTGAATCGATAAATCTCCTCGGCTCCTCAAACCTGTATTCGCGATATTTTGTTCCTATATTATCTTCTATATTCATCCACGAGCTCGATGCATCGAAATATAATATGCGAAACTCAAAAAGAAAGAGAAGCTAAGAGAAGAAAGATCGTACATCCTTCACTTCGTATATTTTTTTTCTATCACAGAGTAGAATTCATTATGCTCGATAGAAGACTATATCCTTTCTATTATTTGAAGATTTTTTATTAATATCGTCACAAATACTTTCTGTATTGTTTCGAAATTTATTGTTATTATCCATTTATTGCTATTATCTATCAATTATTTTCTTTATCCTTTTGATCTACAGTCTACTTCCCTCCAAGTAAAACACTTTTATTTATTGGCGCGCTAATTTATAAAATTTAAAACTACGGTCAATTGTATCTAAAAAACAATAAAAATTTCAGATGTTAAGATAATATCTTTTCAATTATGAATGAAATAAATATATCATTAAAATTAAATATGTTTATTCATATATTATCATTAAATATTCTATTTGTTAACTACTGTCATTCAGTTAGAATTTCTGTAGATCCGTGTTGCATTCTGAACAAACACGTGTATCATATTTAGTTATTTCATTGCAAATATATTTAATTTTTGTATTTTATATTTATATTAAAAATTACAACTTAAAAACAATTGTGTGAATTCGCAATTTATAAAAAGGTACGTTTTTTTTTCTTTTATCGCATTTGATACAAAATACTTATATATAATTTAGAGGTTATGTTCTTTCAGTTAAATATCTATTTATTTTAGTATTCTGTAATAATAAATATATTCTATAGAATTATATTAAAATATAGTAAAATATTTTATGAATTATTTTTTTATTGTTTCAGAATGACTTCAAAGGCAAAAGAAAATGGGAGAAAAAGTATTTCTCCTTGGATGACATGTGTAACATGTCAGAGCATCTTAACACAAAAAGATGTAGTAGTGCATGGCACTAATTGTCCGCCAGATTTTAAAACATGGAATCACGATTTCATTTACAGTGGTGTATTATATAGTACCATGGAAACATATACTCCATTAGGTATATATACTTTTACACTTACCATTTTTTGTATCTTTTTTTTATATAAATGTTTTTTGCATAGAACAGCCAAAAAATATTCATGTAAGGACATTTGATGACATGGCTTTTATATCACAGTCTGCTTTACAATTATGTGAAATTGCAATAGGAGATTATGTTCTTGTGACTGCTGGAGACAATAAAACTGTTAAAACTGCATGGCCAACTAAAGATAAAAGTTTAACAAGTGTTTCATTAACAAAACATGGTAACAATTTTTATTGAATCTTCCCAAATGCATATAACAATTATGTTATTTGCACATTTTTTACAGCAATAGAGTTAAATAACCTTCGAGGCCGTGTTAAGATCGAAAAATTTAATTTCTGTGTTAATGTTGCCAAGGAATTTGTAATCTGTAGTGTTGGGAAACATACATTACAAGAAGCAACCATGGAATTTAACATAATACTTAAGAATCACAATGAACAAAAGGTATTTACTATAGGTAATAAATTCAGTGTGCCTTTTTATGGCAAGACATTAATTTATAATGTTGTCAAAATTATATCAGATGATTATAAAAATGATAATTTGTCTGAACAATTGAAACAATTAAAAATGACAGATGAAGTACATAACCCCAAGTTTTATAAAGCACTTTACAACACAAAGTGGACAATTTTAAATGAAAAGCAAGAAAAGAAACATTACAAAAGATCTAAATTTAAGATACAAGATGTTGGTGGATATGATAATGTAATACAAGATATCAAGGATATTCTTGATATTGGGCTTGGTCAATGCCAAAGTATTGGAGACTTTTATATTAGTAAAGGAATATTATTATATGGTACTGCTGGTGTTGGTAAATCTATTATTGCCAATGCTTTAATATCTGAATATGATATCAATTCTACTACTATTTATAGTACCGACATTTATAGTAAATCACTAGGTGAAACAGAAAAAAAATTACAAGATATTTTCGTGGAAGCTAAAACTAAAGCTCCAAGTATTATTCTAATAGAAGAAATAGATAGCTTATGCCCTAAAAAAAGTACTTCAAGTACAGATCATGAAAGAAGAGTACTTTCACAATTGATTGCACTCTTTGATGACATACAAAATGCAAATGATAATGTAGTTATACTTGCCACAACTTCGAAATTAGACCTTGTAGATACCTCCCTTAGAAGACCTGGTAGAATAGACAAAGAATTTGAAATTTACGTACCTACTTGCAGCATGCGTGCAGAAATATTTAAAAAGATGTTATTAAAGATACCAAACAGTTTATCTTCAGAAGAGGTACAAAATATTGCATTTGTTACTCATGGATTTGTTGGCGCCGATTTATATGGTTTATGTTCTCAAGCAATTTTAAATGCTGTAAAATGTCATCAGAAAATTAGTACTAATTCTGATGTTTCATTAAAAGTAACAATGTCAAACTTTGAACATGCTTTAACTGTCACAAAGCCATCAGCTATGAAAGAAGTTCTTGTAGAAGTATCGAATGTTCGATGGTCGGATATAGGAGGACAAAGAGATTTAAAATTAAAATTAAAACAAGCTGTTGAATGGCCATTGCGACATCCTGAAGCGTTTCTTAGGATGGGTATAACTCCACCTAAAGGTGTTTTAATGTTTGGACCACCAGGTTGTTCTAAGACTATGATCGCAAAAGCTCTTGCAACAGAAAGTAAAGTAAATTTTTTAAATATAAAGGTAAAAACAGTTTAATTTGAAATTTTTTTCATTCAAAAAAAAGGTGTTAAAAAATATATTTTTCAGGGCCCAGAATTATTTTCAAAATGGGTCGGTGAATCCGAGAAAGCCGTGAGAGAAGTATTTCGAAAAGCAAGACAAGTTTCACCTTCAATAGTATTTATTGATGAAATTGACGCATTAGGAAGCGAAAGAAGTTCTTTATCAAGCGGCGGAAGTAATGTACACGAACGAGTTTTAGCACAGTTATTAACAGAACTCGATGGAGTTACTGCATTAGGCAGCGTCACTTTGGTGGCAGCAACTAATCGACCTGATAAAATTGATAAAGTTAGCTATATTTTAATAAATAATTATATTTAACAAAATATTTTATTAATTAAAATACTGGAATGTATCATCTGAAAAGCAAAATTTTTAGTACTAGAGGATATTTTGAACTGTTGAAATTGAAAATCGGGATCATTTTTCACGGAAATGGATAATTTCATTAGAAAAAATTATAAAATGAAATCTGAACCAAACCTCTTTTTTTCTGTTTTTAGTTGTATGAGAGACTTAAACAGATTACTCAATGGCGGACGTATCAGCTATGACGTTTGTCACAGATATGTATATGTGAACAAATTGTGCAAATCTGTACAAATATTTCGAAAAATTGCCATTTCCGTGAAATATAATCTTCTAGACTGAAATAATGAATTTAGAATAAAAATTTTGCTTCTTAGATACTATAGTACAGCTAAATATTGTTTTGTTACAGGCACTTCTTCGTCCAGGTCGTTTGGATAGGATAATATACGTGGCATTACCTGATTATGAAACTAGACAAGAGATTTTCGACATAAAATTAAGAAATATGCCAATCGCTGAAGATGTACAAATTCAAGATCTAGTTGATCTTACAGAAGGATATTCTGGAGCAGAAATCCAGGCAATTTGTCACGAAGCTGCTATGAAAGCACTCGAAGAAAACTTAAATGCTAATATAATCACCAAAGAACATTTCAAAGCAGCATTAGCCATAATTACTCCACGAACGCCAGCATCGTTAATAAATTTATATAATGAATATATAAATAAAATACATTAACTGTAAACATTTATTTACATATAATAATTGAATTTGTCTATTTTATTTTTCCGAGATAATTTCTGTCAATATCTTTCTATTATTACCAATCTTCAGACTTATTCGGAAATTGATAAAATTTTTAGTTGTATTAATTACAAATTACATTAACAAATGTCGGTAACGATAAAATGTGAACGACCTTTCAGTAAAAACAGTTTGAAACAGATTATTGAAAGGTACGATAATATTATCATTTGATTATTTACTGAATTCAATGACAGTCAACTTAATATTTTTTTAGTTGCGGTTACTGTCCACCAATGGATCCACAATGTCCACCATGCTCTACATCGTGTCCACCCCAACCTATTTGTTACTATACATATCCTGCGCCAGCGTGTAAATTGGAACCAAAATCTAATTGTTGCCCACCTATGTCAGTTACTTGCATGCCTACACCTTCATTATTATTTTGCCCTTTTGTTCGTCCACCTTGCACAGACCGTATCATTTCTGCACCTATTCCTAAACCAGTTTCAGCTTCTTACGAAGCCGGCTCTGTCTTACGGGCACCTGTTACTACTGGTGGATTATTTTATATTGGAACAATTAGATGATATCCCTGTTTGTCATTTGCTTGTTAAATCATATTTCTCCTTTTTTCATGGCAATGTAAAATCTGTCCCTCATATATATATATATATAATTACCTCATAAATAAAACATTGATTATTATCTAATCTTAATAAATACTAATTGATCTGAGTTTTGTATTATACATAAACATTTATATACATTTTACACGTAAATTTGTATTATATTTTATATATAAATAAATGTAAAACAAATATAACAATATT